GGGGGGGGGGGGGGGGGGGGGGGGGGGGGGGGGGGGGGGGGGGGGGGGGGGGGGGGGGGGGGGGGGGGGGGGGGGGGGGGGGGGGGGGGGGGGGGGCTGTTCGAGATGACCCAACCAGAGGTGGGTGCGGTAGATGAGGCATATATGTTACGGACGGGGGGCATTCGGTTCTACTACTGTATTTAGCACAACAAGTTGTTTCGGTTGCGAGTTCACTCAACGATGGCCCAACTTTGAAACTGGGGATCGGTGCGAGGTGATGCTGGATGTAGTGTGTGCGCCTGCACCGACTGCCTGGTCACGCGCAATAATTGTAGATGCGTGTTTTGTTTTTGTTACGGAGCATCACCACATCACACAACATAAAGCAAGGTGCGCAATAGCCAAAGCACACGCATGCACCCGGAGGTCCAGGTGTGGTACACACGCAACAAGGAGGGCGCGTGCGTACCCTTTTTTGGCCTTGCCCAATCACATCACAGCACAGCTCTCCTCCGACCGTACGTTTCATGTTTGTTTTTTTTCGTAAGGTATCACAACAAATCGATCTCTATTGATAGGATGAATGGTTAGATGCATTCTACAAAAGCTTTTAGCAGGGTGCTGCCTGTGCTTCTCCGATCCCCCAAGTCAGCATTATTACGATATGGCTCCCCCTGTGTGGGACAGGCAGGCTTCACAAATACAGCAGTTCGGCGGAGGCCATTTTTTTCTTGGAAAGTGGAAATTTGCCCCTTTGCTTCATCTTCCATAGGTCCGCACGCGAACCCAAGTCGGAGTCAAACACAGGGAGGCTCAACAAATAAAGCAGTTCGGCGGAGGCCATCTTTTTCTTGGAAAGTGGAAATTTGCCTCTTTACCTCATCTTCTATGGGTCCGCACGCGAACCCAAGTCTGTTACATCGGTACTTCTATAAATACATTTACTCTATTACCCCGTCTTCTCGGAAAAAATATAAGAACGCTGCAATCTGTGGTGCGCCCACAACACAACCTGTAAGAGTAATACCTCACAGCAGCACAGCAGTAGGAAGGAAGCCCGCCGCCTTTGCTGCGTCCCCGATGTACATAGCCAGCAGGGTGTCGGCGATGTTGAGACTCATCTCGAGCTGCAGCTGTAGCTGTGGGGGAGGGTCCAGCAATGTGGTGGACGAGGACGAAGACTTTGATCTGGACTTGCCTACGATGCCTACCAAGCTAACCCTGGCTACGTCCAGGCAGGAGAGGAGCAGAGGGGCGACGTGCTCCGGCTCGGCTGGCGACATGAGCGTGGACCCGCCTTTCCCTCCGATGTCAGCTGAGCGACTGAAGCCGCAGCCCTTCCGGAGAAAGGACCCACCCATGCACTTTCAGGCTAGCGTTCGAGGAGATCTGCAGGAGCTCAACAAGTGGCTGATTTCCGGGGGGGATCCTAACTCGAGAGACGACGAGGGTTGGGCGCTGCTGCATCATGCCAGCGTGAGTGTTGAGTTGTACCCAGCTTGTAGCTGCTGCTGGCCACCAGCACGTGGCCTGTCTGTACGCCGCCTGTCCTGAGGCTAAGGCGTGCCTTGTGTGGTCGCTCCGTCACGCGTGGGGGGGAGTTCTCTTCTCCCTTCTGCCTCGGTGTGTCTATAGCAGCAGTAAGCAGAGTGGTCCGTCCCTCGTTTGGGTGCGCAGGGAGCAGTAGAGATAGTGTGAACTTGTTGCTGTGTACCCCTTGCTTTTGCAAACCTGACCGGCATCATCACGTTCTAACCAAAGTTCGAACCGCGATCTGTCGCTGCAGATGCACGGCAGAGAGGACTGCGTTGGGCTTTTGCTGCGGTATGGGGCGAGGCACGACAGGGTTGCCATTGGAGGACACACGGTGCTTCACCTCGCGAGCGCTAATCGACATTGCGAGGTCGTGAAGAGACTTGTTGAGGCCGGAGGGCGGGTAAACGCCAGGAATTCGCATGGTAACACCCCGGTACATTCTGCAGCTGCCACGGGAACGGTCGACGTGCTGTCGGTGAGTCTTCTCATTCTACCGAGCAGCAGCAGCAGCAACAGCTACCTATCGCTGCCGTGTTCTATTCTTAAATACACCGCCACGGGCTGTGCTGAGCGAAAAGAGGCACCACACGAGCACAGGGAGTTGGGGAGCCGGCGGGGTGTCTTCATATTTTTTATATTCGCGCTGTGACGTACTAAGCACGATATTCATACCAACATTGAAAGATTCGGCGGGGTGTCTCCCCCTGTACAGCCGCGCAGCCCTGAGTTTGGTTGTGCTGCAGCTCTGCGGCGGGTTCGCCATGTCGTGGCATTTCTCTCTGTCGCTGCTGCCGCTGCCTGCTGCTTGTGGCCTGTTGATGTGACGAAGACATGCAGCTCTCCATAAACCGGGTCCCGGCGCGGGCAAGCTGTAGGCAAATGTGCATCAAGTTTGAAGATTGGTTGGTTTCATTTGCCAGCTAGCTGAAAAACACGGGCCGCCCCCCCTCCGTTAGCTCAGAGCACGCACTCAAGTCGCCAGGCGCCGATTGGTTCCTTCTAGAGAAACAAAGAGCACGCAGGCTCTCAGCAGGCACTCCAACCTGACGGCTCCTCAAACGCTGCCCAGCGGTTCATAAAACGAACAACTGCTCGCTGCACCTCAACCCGGCAAGAGTCGAATTTTCGATGCAAAGAATTTTCGGCAAAGGCGCAAGAATCTGCACATCTCCAGTTGCGTCTGTTGGAAGTTCCCGAGACCACACACAGATGCACACGCCATTTCCCATGTCCCGCATGAATTCACTCCGAAGAAATTCCGCGTAAAACTTGTGCCTGCCAACCTGACGCACCAGTAGCGGCGTATCTCTTATCGCACCCCGTTCCCTGTAGTCAATGGCAGCAGTGTGCAGTTTTGCACCCTCCTGCTTTGTGTAGCAAGGGCGAGCGATGATAGGCCAGACGTGAACAAGTCCATCGACAAATTCGCGGTCACATGCATCCATGAGAAGCATCCTTTATTCAGATCACAGAATTCCGGCTGCCAGGGGTCCATACCATAGGACACCCCGTTATTTTGGCCTCTTGGCTTCTTGGTTCGATCTACTCGGCCTAGAGGCAACGGTTGTGTGGCCGCGGAGCAGCGCATCTGTCTCTGTGCAGCTACACCGCCGTCCGTTCGCATGGAAGCAGACAAAAATCGATTCCGTGATACAAATAGCCCGTTAAGGCTGTGGTGGCACCAGCAGTCCACCAACCGCACCAATTGTTGGATATTTGTGATTGTTTTTGAGTCAGTGCAGCCGGTCTTGCCCAGCTCATGTTTGCTCTGATGCCATAGATATTCTGCTGTGGACAGCTTGCCGTTTGGGGGACGAGATGGCCTGCTTCAACCAGCGGACCTTGGTGTAGTTATTTCACGGAGTATGGGTGGAACCCACAGCAGTCACAACCATACTTTTTTTTTATTACTATATGTCCCATGTGTCGATTCAAGCCAGCAGAGCTGCCCGTTGAGTGAAGTATTATCATAGATTTAGTGGTTTCTACACAAATGAACCGTGAGAAACAGAGTGTCTATGCATCAGCACATGATGTTTTGTGAAGCAGCGTCCCAACATCCCCATATGTAGCTTGTGGTATGCGAGTGCATCAATCAACGGCGTTATCTCTCTCTCTCCAAGTGATACATCTAGGCGAGTTGACGGTCCACAAAATTTTGCGTGAAGTCAGAGGAACGTTTTGCCAATATTCTTGTAGGTGCCCCCCCCCATGCCTGTCGGGCGATTTCATTGCTATTTAACGTACCACAAAAAGCCCAGTACGTTCGCTCGCCGGTTGAGGGATCATCTCAAATAACACCAACGTGGTGTATGTATCATGGAATGGTACAACGCATTTTGACAAAAATATAGCATACGTAATACTTACCGATATGTAGACTAATCCTGATCTCTTGTGGGGTTGTCATACACGTGCATACTGTTCGGAGGATCAGGATGAAAGACTACCCTAGTTATATGCATATGACAATAATGACCGGGATATCGGCTGCGCACCATCGTAATTTAGTCTACCCTGCGCCCACAAGCCAGACTCGTGTACATGTAGAATGCAGAACACCCTGGCGCAGACCATGAGACCGACGCCAGTCGAATCATCACATGGCCGCAACGTTGATATTGCCCTGCCCTCGTCGATCAGGCAGACTAACTACACTAACTTTTGTTCCATCAACTTTTTGACTGTACACCCATTCTGAGGTGTGAGACCCCGCCGTGCCTCTGGTCCCGCATGCGAACCATATTTTCCACTCAGATACCCCGAGTGTGCAGCAAGATAGCTCGTGCGTAGGCTGGCCCTTGCACGTCCTCCGCGTTGGTACGTCCCTTGTTGAGCACTAATATACTACAGCAGTAGTTCCTGCTGCTCCTAAATACTGCCATTAGTAGGAGTAGATGAAATGCACAGCAGTAGTTCATTCCTCAACCTCTTCCCCACCTCAAGCCGCTTCTCCTCGCGGCAACCCGGCGACCTACGTGGAAGTGTCGAACTGAACCACACGCGATTTCTCTGCGCGAATGCATACGTGTACAAACAATACGTCTAGACTACTTGGCCGGAACGCCCTGACTCTCATCGACAGATAATTACAAAAGGGGGCGGACTTGAACGCCGGGGTGGAAAACTTGATATGAGTTTGCATTGAGTTGGGAAATCACCATTAGAAAGTCACGAAGTCACCCTTTGAAACCGTATCTGCTGTATGAATATCTACGGATCAGATGTACGATAGTTAGGTTTTTACTGATGTATCAAGGGAGGATTGAATTCGAATTCCTGCCCCTGACCGGCTGTCTGTTCCTTCTTTCCTCTCGTCCGTCCTCCTCGGCAGTACTTGCTGAGCCAGTCCGCGAACCCGGACGCGGTGAACTCGTTGGGAGAAACACCGGACCTGGTTAGCGGGGCTACCGCAGAGGTGGTGCATCTCATTCAAGCGGCACGACGGCTGAAGAAGGGTAAGCTGTGTGTGTGTGTGTGTGTGTGTGTGTTTTTTTTTCTTACTTTTTCCGGCAACGATGAAGTTACCGCACCCTTAGATGCCGGCTCTGCTTGCTTAGCATTGGATGGTACGCACATTTTCGGGATAGTGGGAGCGCGTCAACCTAACAAGGGTTAATTAGGGGTAAAGGAATTCGCGCCATGATGTGCATACACTGTACAAGTGTTGAGCGGATGCAGCTTGTTCTGCGGGTGGCAGCCGGGCGCACAGCTGTGCTGCAGGTCTCAAAACACCCACCACGGACACCAACCGACTCTATTTTGCTCTTCGTTTTCATGTCGAGGGTGTTGAACGGGAAACAGCCTGTTCAGCCGGCGTTGCTTCGCACACACCAAGTTGACTTTTGCGCGCTCGGTGTTTCCAGCTTCTTGTTCCCCTATTGTATGGGCGTACGGGAAAAGCAGCCCTCCCTACCCTGTTGCTTCCAATACTTGATGGAGGACCAGATGCGCTCACTGGAACAGTTGAATTTCCCCACCAAAAGATAAGGCTGTTCAATTTTGCACCTATAGCAGGCCCCCCCTATTTGCTATCCAAACCAAAATACCTAAGTGCAGTACAGACGGGTAGAACGCACCGTCCGTGCAAATGTGACCCAGCCGGAAGTTCACCGCAGCAGGAAAGGGCGACATGGCGCCTCTTTCTTTTTCTCGGCGCACAGCCAACCTCAAATGCTCGGGAAGTGCCCGTTGAGCTTCCCACTCAAGTGAGTGAAGTGAGTGAGTGAGTACTTCCGCAAGCTTGACATGTCCTACTGTAATACCCGATCACCCCATCGTGTCGGGGCGGCTGCTCATGGATGTCGAACATGACGTCGTGGCCTCGTCGGGTAATCCGTAGACTAATCGTAACTTTCAGCCCTTCGACCCTTACCCTCTAGCTTCCCGTCTCTCTCCCGCTACCCTGCCCCCCCTACCCCCTCCCCTCGCCACAGCCCGCATCGCCCAGCGATTCGCGCTGGTTAAGATCCACTGTCTGTCGAACAGCGGTCGGGCGAAGCCCAACATTGGGGTGGTGATTTCCGCAGCGGAGACGGCGAATGATGCCAGCAGTTACAGGGAGCGCCAAGCACGAACTCCTGTCGAAGGTACTGCCAAGGGGGAGTCAGCATCGCCGGAGGCGGCATCGACGCCACGCGTGCTGGGTGGCAGCGAACCAAGCGTTGGGCAGCAGCAACAGCAGCCACGGCCATCGCTGAATTGTACTGTTGCTGCCATTGCCGGTCTTCCGCAAGAAGTCCTGCGGCGAATTGTTGGTTATTGCACTTTGTAGGGTGTGGCAGCAGAGAGCAGGGGGGTGGGTACGTTTGCTGTGGCTCGCTTCTGCGAGAGAGAATTGAGAAGCGCATCTGGCTTCCGCTTGCAAAGCGAACAGCGTGATGTGGTAGCAGCGGTCATGCCTCTGACTGAACCAGCTTTCTCTCTGCTAATGTGGTGGCCCTGGCTGCTGTTGGCATGCAGTGCAATGCAATGCAAGGATTTATTCCACACATGCGGGCGGCAGTGCCGCTGCGAAGGGGGGATGCAAGATTAATCGCCTTCAAACCGTCGGCAAAGTACGTGGTTAGGCTAGTTTTCCAAAGCAAGCTAGCTCCTGCGGGAACATTTGTAAGACCACGAGCTCGTGTCACTGTCATCACACCGAATTGTCAAGTTCTTCTTTTTAGCGTTCTGTTTGTGTCTTTTATTCGAGGGGGCGTTGTGGAGACATTCGCATGTTTGTGCGTGGCGAAGGGGGGAGCGGTGGTGGAGGTTTGGGTCTCAAGTTTCTCTTGACAGCGATCCTTCGAAGCTTTAGTCTACACCAGGGGACACCGTTAATGTTGGTCATCACGCCATGTGGGCCGCGATCGTGTATTCCCTGCGCAAGTCCGGCCGGCGAGCATGAAGAACAAGAAGTGCGTACGCAGAGGCGGGCGGGGGGAGAGAGTATAGTACATGTTGGAGCTCGGTAGGGTGGTGGTAGTAGAGGACGAGGAGATGATTAGTGAGGGGACAGGGCAAGGCGTTGGGAGTTGTAAACGAAGATGGTAACACTACTTTTTTAAGGTTATAGGGTGCGGGCTGTCTTTTTTTCCTTTCCCTTTGCCTTGGAGGTGGAGGGGTACCGAATATGGTGCTTCCTGAAAGACCTGTTGATAATTTAGGAGTGGACTTTTGTTTTGTGCGGAGGGGCGAGGGAAGGGAGGGAGAGCAGACAGGTTAGTGCCGAGAGGTAGCATACTGAGGCACGGTTTGACTTAGCTACAGATTACACAGCAATTATCGTTCACGTCTGTTGTGTCCTTCGGAATACGGGTCATGCATGCTTGACTTGGCTTGTAGACAACGGGGACACGATTGGCAGTGCGTTGGCGATCGCAACTAACCGCCGCGAAGCACGCTCCTTTGTGCTTTTCTGTTGTATTGTGTTGTGCATGGCGTGCAGATGGATCGATCACCTCACGCAGAGATATAATCAATCAGACAAGACAGGCAGATCAATCGTAACGTCTCCGGCTCGGTGCCCGGCTGTTTTGGGTGGTGGGTGTTATAGTCCATAGTCTATGTAATGCACAGGCCGGCCGGCGTTGGGTGTTGGCATGTTTTGTGCGGTGACGGCGGTGTGTTGTGGTGTGGCTGACTGACTGACTGACTTGGGATTCTCGAATGTTGACCTGGGGTGGCGGGTGCCTCCATCGCTCCTGCCGACTCGCAAGTGGTCTACTCGTTTGTGTGATGTTGATTTGTTGAGATTTCTTGGCTTCGTTTTCTATGGTGATGCCGCACGCCGCCCATCAGTGGCTTTCCAGTATTTTTTTTTTATCGCTTGGTACTCCGCCCGGCCTGTCGGACGTTGACTCGTTGTACATGAGTAATGAGTGTGTCAATGCTTGATTCCCACCAGTACACCCGAGCATCAGTGCGGGATAGCGCAGTATGGCACTCCTTGGAAGGCTTGTACTTCTCGAGAGGGGGGTTCTCATCATATCATTTGGGGTATTGTTTCGTCATCAACGCGATGTCGTTGTTGTCCTTCTGTTGCCACGCCGTTGCGTGTTTCCTTGTTTATTGGGTGGGGGGGCTCCAGATGAGAGCACGAGTTGCGAGCGAAAACCTTTAACGCAGCAGGGGTGGGAAAGTGGTCAAAGCGTTTGGCCTACCCAGGTACCGACCGCGAAAGGAAAGGTCGAAGGTGTCTCGGAAATGAACCCCTTGGTGGGAAGTGCGTGACTCAGTCCCAGTCACACATATTTCCCGCCAAAGGGTCTCCCTCGTTAACGGCTTGCAGTCGTCTTTCACTGCTCTGTCTGCGGACCTGAAACCCTGTGCCGGTTTTGGTTGCGTCAAGACTGGCCGGGATTTTTCTTGTGTTCACTTTCCCTACGTCCTGACTTCATCGTGTACCTAGTAAGCTGGTTTTACGCAGTACGTGAGATTGGTGCGATTGTGTGTGGCTTGTTACCAAGTATATGTTGCCACCTACAGTTCTTGGTATGATGAAAAAACTTGTATGCGCCACAGGTAAAGTATAGTCTAAATTTTTGTGGGTCATGTGTGGTCGTGTTCCCATTTCAAGGATCAAGGATGAGCCTTGTTTCCAACGGTGTCTTTTTTCCCAGGCGAAGTTTGGGGTGTCAGCGTGATGTACAATAATCGACACTTCAACTCATCATGTGGAGGGCCATTTGTTCCTGTCAGTGGTGGGGGGTCCTCATCTAAAGCTGCCGTTGTGGAAAACGAAGAGGTGCGTCTGTAGTTCCTCTTTATTTGGCAAAGCGGCGCATTCGGCGAGTTTTCACTTCTAGCATACACGAGACGCTTGTACGTGCGCATGTTCCCATCAAATATTCATTTTTATCCACCTGCTGGACGCCAGCGCGGCGGAACTGCACCCTGAATCAGTGGTTTCGATTGTCTCGAGCGGAATAATTCTGTCGTTTTACACAACCGTACAAATACGCAACGGTCCAAACACATGGAATGAACCGTTTACACAACGGATCAAAACATGACATACCGCTTGGAACACTTCACATTTTCTTCAACAAGTCTTTACCTAGTCTATCTGTGTACCATTTACTCGCCTTTCTCACGGCTTCCGGGTGGAGCCTTTTGACCCGATAAAGAAGAACTACAGCAGTTTCTACTTCGCCGTGAGACACGCACGCGCACAGAGTAAATGTTGTTTGTTTTTGTTTTTTGTTTTTCTCCCATCATTGGACTCTGTCGTCTGCCCCTCTGGCCCCTATCCTCCACTTCTTCTAGCTAGACGACCCAACCGGGGTCACATAGGAGGGGGGGGGCTGGACCCCCTCCTGCGGTTCTTGCCTGAGGTATTTTTATCGCGAGAAGGGTACAGCAATCCCTTACCTCGCGACTTACGAAGTCGATTATGGTTTACTAACAAACGAGCTTTGCAGCGCGTCGCTTTCATCCTAGACCAGGATTTATTTGTGAGAAAAAACTCACTCTGCCGGGACTCGAACCCATGACCTGGCCCTTAGCAGGCTGCGAGGCTACCCGCTAGACCACCGGGGCGACCGGTGTGTGTGTAGAGTCTAGAGGCGTGTGTGGCGGGTCCCAGGTCTGGATATTAAAGCCTGCTGGACAACCAAGAAAAAAAATGTACTTCGTACATGGAACCGTCTCGCCATCAACAGATAACCGCGCGTGTCCCTGGTCGTCAAGCCTGCACCCCAACAATATGGGAAGAAAATTGTTTCGGTCCTACAAGTGGCCCTCCCTTCATCACACATGTGCCTCGTGAATAATATGATTGCGCCGAAGTGTATGGCAGTTCGTCGACAGGAAGAAACGCTCGGCCGGGGGGTCCTGTCGATACTTACATTGCTTCCCCTTTGTCGCATGGGGGTGGTCATTCGTCCACCTCACATGCCGTTAACACACTCAACTTCCTAGGCGGTATCAATCACCTTCTCAGCTCTAATTTACATTAGCTCTACCAATTCAAGCAGGTGCGCTGGCGAGTAGGTGAGCTGGCGAGCCCGAACTGTGCGTGTCACCAGCTCTAGGGCTAAGGATCTTGTGCAAGTCGTCCATCGTGCGTGAAGGTTGGACTCGATTTTGACCGCGAAAGCCGGTTTGGCCGATCGGCGTCTCTCGATGCATGCGGAGCAAACCCAGAGCAACACGTCATTCGTGTCGGGTAGACGCAGAAAGTAGACGCAGAGAAAAGCACGGGGGAAGGGATGGGATCGCCCGTCGCTGTTCGCGAAAGAAAGAACAAGCGCTGTTCGATGTCTTCGGGCTTACGTAGAGTAGGATTACGTGGGTGCTAACTGCTTACGGCTAGTATTGAACTAATAATCTACAACGGCACAACGATGCTCGACTATGCCTACAGCAGTCGTGGTGAAGAGGAACGAAGATGTATCGCAAAGATACTCCTCCCGCCTTGTCCCGCCTGACATATACTGCCAAGAAAGAAACAATATTGCATTGTCAGCAGCTTCCCACGCGAGGTTTTCGTTTTCGGCACATGTCTGATGGAACATAGGTGGTGCTTCGACTCGGGTACACATACATGCCCAGTGTGAACCTCACCCAATAGCGGTACATGAAGGGACTCTACGTATTGGCGAAGATGCCGCGAACACCAGACTGCCGGCGCCGCGATGGCGGTGGTGATGTGGTTGGTCAAAAGTGTACATCGTGCCGAAAGTGTAGTTTATCCACTGTAGAACGCTAGGGGCAACACAATATGTCGCGAGCGGGCGGGCGGAGGAAGTTTTTCGAGAGTGGTCTAATGGTTTAGCTTTTATCTAATAGACTGGACGGGGAAAGTGCGGTGACTCATGTCCAGGATGTCGGTCAAGCGCTCTGGTTTTCCAACCAAGGCCGGGCTTAGCCCTTTCAATCGGTAATCGTCTACCGTTCACGACATCCAGCGCGTCTTTGGCCAAACTTGGTCAAGCTAAATACCGTCTCCTAGCCACATCGGCGACGCCTTCGCGAGAGCCGCTCTGCGGCTAGATCTGGCCCATAAGCTCAACGTCCGAGACATGCCGCACCGGGCCACATTCAAGCGCCACGGCAGCGATGAGCTACCGGAGATCAGCCGAAGCCGCCGCCGCCTGGGGGAGCAAGCGATACAACGGCCGCCGTCGCGAAGGAGGTTTGCACCCAGGTGGCCGCTGAGCTCCCCAATGTTGGCGGCAACCAGGCCAAATCTTTCCTACGGTATCGCGGTGTTGAAGGGGGCAGGAGGTGAGAGAGGTGGCAATGTGATTCGGTCGTCGCCTGCATGGTGGTCGACACGACAACTGTAGGTACCATTTCTAAAGCGTCGACGACTACCCAACCGTATAACCACCTATGTATGTAGACACCGGTTTCTCCCCCGACGTCCTTCTCGTGACACCGTACTTGTGCACCCTTCACTCGTTTTTGGTCCTCCAATCTTCTTCTGCTGCCCCCAGGTCGCCAATGACCTGATGCACACGGCTGGCCCTACCAGAGCGTGTCGTCGATGAGATAATCGAGGAAACGACGAAGGTTTGTGTGCACGGTCCGACCGTCACCATTTTCTCCCCTGCCTGTCGGAAAAGCAGGGTGCGTGGGGTGTCGAGGAGGTAAGCGAAGACCGGTGTACTCGAAAATGGTTTTCGCCTTTTTCGAGGGTACCGGTCTTCTCCAACCTCCTCGGTGCCCCCCGCATCCTGCTTTTCCAACAGGCAGGGGAGAAATGGTCACGGTCGAACCGTACACACTAACCTTGATCGTTTCCTCGAGTACTCATGGACGACACGCTTAGGTGTAGGTCCAGCCGTGTGCCGCAGCCAGGTCACCAGCGGGCTGGTAACAGCAAAAGCAGATCGAGGAGGAACACAAACGATTCGAGCGTGCACAAGTACGATGTCGCGAGAAGGAGGTAGGGGGGAGAAGAGATGACGATATGATTCGGTCTTTGCCTTCATGGGTAGACACACACAATACATCTACCAAGTCTAAAGCTGTAATGATTCATCTGTGATGTACTTTGTCTTCGCCACACCTGAAGTCAGGGGTGTTGCCAACCTATAATACAGGCGTAGCCTCACTCGAACAGAACATGGTCGAGGGTTGTCTCGGCCGTCTCATCGGCAGTATCGCATCCCACAAACGCGTCTCGAGGCAGCCATCCCGACACCGGAGCGGCGTACTTGATGATGATAGACCAACTGCATTTCATAATCGGCTCAGGACGCGTTTTTTGCTTTCGTGGGTGGTCAAACGTGTCACGTGACAACACCGTGAGGTTCTCCTCCAATCGTATACAGAAGGTATCGGTGGTTCAATGCCAGATCATGGGGGGGGGCAGTGGAAAGAAGATGGCCCATGTGGACGTATGATTGCCTCGCCAAACCAGAATGGTTGAAGACCAGCGAAGTTATGCAGAAACTTTGAGAGAAGGCAAAGAAGGAATTAGGAGAGGGAAAATAACTTCACCGCTCGATAAAGACATGGTTTGAGCCCATGATCGGCTACGGAGTATAGACTAAAGCACCGCTGGCAAGGGCGTCTTCCGCCCCATGTCGACCAGCCTGGTCGCGGCCTATCCGTACCAAACTTTTTGTTTTTAGCAATGTATCTATGGGGGATATATACGACTGAGGACATTTGCGACAATACGCACACAGCAACCAAACGAGCCGGCTTGATCACTTGGGTGCGGCTGATATACCGAAAAGGCATCGGTTGTGATGTGGTGATAAATCTACATGTATCTGTTGTTTTACTGCACACATCGCCAAGCATCACAAAAATAATTCGAGCGCGATGTCCACAGAGTCTCACAATTCGCATACCCGCGGATGCCCGGGTCGCTGCACATACGTTTTTGTCCTTCGCCAAATGGTGTCTGCCTTCTTTAGCAGGGTTTTGGCATTGCGCGCGTGCTGATGACATGAACCGAGTACCCTGAGACCGATCATCCGTCCATATTCCATTCGATCGATGTCACATGAAATTAGATGAAAGCAGAGCTCGGCCCTCGGTCGGCAGTGACGCCGCATTGCATCATTGCATCGGTCCTAGACCCCACTGCTTTTGTTGCAGGATAAAGCACTTGCTGGGCCATCCGCTACAGAGAGCCTTTCAGAGCGCAGCAGCGCTTTGACTCATCTTCAGTAGCTACTGCTGTACACCGCAGTACAGCAGTGCAAACTCGTCCGATCCCAGGTCCAAAGCTGAGAGAGTCCCCGTGGTACTCCTTGGGCAGCCGGGTGGCGTCGCCATCCAGCAGCGCAAAGGAGGAACTAGGCCTCTTGGCTTGGCGGGCGGCAGTTGCCGTGAAGAGTGAGGCGGGCTCGCTGACGACGACGTGGATTCAGATCCAAGATGTCGGGGGACCCGCAGATTGGCAAGAACCGATTTCGATCAGATATGGTTCGGACGGCATGCGCGGCGCTTGGCGCTGCTTGCCGCTTGCCACTTGCGACACGGGCAGCGGGTGCTTGGACGCTTGGACTCGGTAGACTCCTTTTGCTTCACGTGCACAAACCAATTGGCAAACAACACACCGTGACACAGCTCTCTCCCTCTCCATTTTGTACCACTGATGGTCCAGATGGACGCTCTTCAACTCCCGGTGCGTCTTTGGAAAGAGCAGGTGTCGGCATGTACGTTGGGAGCTGCATTTTGTGTATGTTGTCCGTGCGCTGTAGGTTGTAGGTGCTACAAATGGCCTGGTGATGCAGCCCTATGCGCTTTGCGAGTTCCGCCCGGGAAAAATCACCACCGGGTTGCTTGCTGCACACCACTGCCTTTGATCCAGCAGCTTTTTCGCGTAGCAACCTGTTGGTGGGCACACCCACGTGATCGCACGTGCCCCTCTTTTGTAGAGGTCGACCAACGGGAAGCGAAGGCGCCGTTTCCGTGTACGAGAACATGTCATCAGCGTGCCGCGTGTGCCGTGTGTCCATGTCATGTCTCACCGCTTTGTTCTCATCACTTCTCAAGCATGCACTTCGCGACTTCGCGAGAAAAGCACATGTGTTTATTGGTGTAGCGCATGGTCGCGGTCTGACTACAAGTATAATAGCTCGTCTTGTCGTATTGCCCTTCTCCACATCCTGTGAGGCGGAGAAAGAGGAGAATTTGTGAACACAAGCAGCAACCAAAGCAGGGTGTGCCTGTTGTATCATTTGAAAGCGCCGTGTGTACTGCGCGGATCACTGCGCGCGCTCTTGTTAATATATAGAGCTTGTCCATTTCAGCGGTATAAAAAAGTAAGCGCCACAATCAGAGTCGGGTTCTTTGAGGTCTAAATCCCTACTGGCAGTGTTCCAGCAGCCAGCAGTTTTGATGTGTGTCGGACAGCAGTCCACTACCATCTTTGCAGTCTACTAATACTGTACGACTTGCCTCGACGTTCGACTCCATGGGCTCCTCGTTCCCGGAAGACCGTATGGCGGTCTACGCTACCATCAGAGTCAGCACTCGGCCAGCAAGCATCGGACAGCGCTACATATCTACGCGTAATAAAGAACCATTGAGCAATGCCTATGTTTCGATTAAAAGTTACTCCAAACGACAAGGGAAGGGGGGGGGGGG